TACACAATATACACAATATTCAACTTTTCACAATCACAGTAGCCTTCCTGGTATTATTTTTTTTTTTTTAAGTTTTTAAAAACTTTGTTGTTTAAGTCAAAATTTTATAAACCATGCAGGTTTGTGTCACTTCTCCTACCGTCTTTCTTGGAGGGGGCCGAACTTGTGCCACCTGTCTATCTTGTGAAGGAGATTCTTAGTATCGTCCGTGTTTGTTCGTGGCTTGCTGGACGGAATTATTTTTGTCTCTGTAATTGTTAGTGTGACGGACCAGAATGAAACAAATAAAAAAAAAAGTTTGTAAGAGTTCTGCAATTATTTTATTGCTTTTCGTATAATATTAAATGCAATCTTAATCTTGTTAACAAGAGTTTGTATCAGATTTTCGAGTTTCATTATACTACTGAAATTAATAACAAATGGAAACCTCAGTTTATTGCTTCCTATACATGATATATAACACATTAATATAACTGAAAAGCTATGTTTTGTGTAGCTTTCAGTTATAAGTTGTAAGCAAAGTTATGAAGTTGAATACAAATATCTCTGATGGAAACAGAATTTTCTTTCAAGTTTACCCACCATCAGCTTTCCTAAACACAAGTATTCTATACATGTCACAGTTAAAATATCCATTGCATTTCAGTAAGGGGGTGTTGAATTGATGTAAATGAAATGTTCTTATTTTACAGGCACTGGTGAGAAACTTTCTCCCGATAAATAATGTTGCAATCTGATATCTTGTACTGCAGAGGTTCTTACTCCATTGTGTTTTCTGTTTTTGAACTGAATTTGATATCATTTAACTCATTACCCTCCAGATGGTTTTGAGTGAAGTGATATTAAACTCAGTTCGAAAACAGAAAACACACAACGGAATAAGAACCTCTACAGTACAAGATATCAGGTTGCAACAATATTTATTTGGAGAAAGTTTCCCACCAGTGGCTGTAAAATAGGAACATTTCATTTACATCGATTATTAATTCTAGCAATACGTGTGAACCAGTGATTTTTTTTGGGAGGGAGCAGTAAAAAAAATGCTGGTGGTATAATAGCATACTTTCTTACCGACAAGGCAGGTGGTATGATAGCATACCTTCTTACCGACCGAGCCCTCGGCCCTGGCGGCAGTCATTTTTCTATCAAGAGAGTCTCAGCTGGCCACCTCGGCAGCAGTGATGCTTCATGGCGTCACGCAGCCTGTGTTGCCCGCCAATAGCATTGAACATGCAACCCCCGCGCTTGAGCGAGTTGAGCTATGGCAATGGCGCTTGTGAGGAAGTATATTTAGGATTTAAAGCATCTTGGCGAATAAGTGTACCAGACTTCTTATAAACAATTAGCATCCATAGAGTTAAGTTAAAACCCAGTGTTTTAGAGACTTCTTCTGTCTCCATCATCAGGGTTGATGACTGTCAACTAGGCATGTGTGAGTATCAAATTTTAGACACTGAATTTAGAAAAAAATATTTCAGTTTCAATTTTAACATTATTTTTTCAATCTTGAAATTTGACCCTTTTAAAATAACTGCAGTTGCTTTATGCAGTGGCACCCAAATAACCTAATTAGTCAGAATCATAACAATAGTTGAGCTGGCCAAAGAAGAGTTGCTAAGAGGTAGGAGCCTGTTCCCCCACTGCATTTTCTTACCTATTCGCTGGCACTCCCCAGCTAATGATGTAGAATGTGTAATCCGACTATAGGAGAGGAAGAGTGAGCTGGAGTAAGGGGAGTACAGAAAGGGAGTGGGGGGATGATCCCTAAGAATTCTTTGCCTGGTTCCACTGTAGTATGAATCAACTTTTCAACAGAAGTCTCATTTCCTATTCCTGCCCTTGATAAAAACATGCTCTAGAGTTATGTGTGTTTTTAATGTAATGATTTATGTTATTTTTCATTGGAAAATGATCTGATACCAAAGGGATAAGTAGTATGATTTAGTGCACTATGAAATGTAGCTTATGCTATAAATTATGATTACAATGAAAAAAATTTGTCAAATAGAGAAAATTCTTGTTCTCATTTCAGTTCTTTAGATTTTTTCAAATTCTGATCTTGAACTAAAAAGTCATTTTTACACATTCTTACTGTCAGCCTTTGTGAGGGAGACAGACCAGGTCTCTGAAACCTTTGTATTGTAACTCGCAATTAATGAGGCTGATTTTACTGCAAGGAACCATCCGTTTGAGACCCATATTGGGACCAATGTCATGAAAAGACAGCTGTTTTTTAGCAGTGATGATGCATTTATGATTGTGTAAATGCCAGATGTTTTCTGGGTGCTCATTTGTATTCCAGGCAATAAACAGTTTATGCACGTAGAATAGGTTTAGCCTTTATATGATTTTACTTCTTTGTGATATACATAAAATGGTTTTTCTTGAAAAGTGATGGGGAACAACAGGTGGAATGAGCAACCAGTGCATTGGTCCTCATTGCAGAGTCTTACATTGCATTTACATGAATGATTTCTTTTATATGTACAGTTTTCCGAGGTTATGAACAAATTGTTCATAACCCTGAAGGCATCTATTCATTTGAAATTCAAGTACAATACTTCTGCACCTGGCCTCTGTATTCGAGCCCTTCTGGTATACACCGATGCAGAAGAATTTCAGGAACCAGTGGTTCGCTGCACAAATCACAGGTTCAGTGATCACCCTGATAATGCATGTAATTGCAATGTTTTAAGATTGAGTAAACTCTTGAACTTCCTGAACTTGAAGGTTCATTAGTATCACCACAAAAGTCTACCTGAGTAATGACAGTCCAGTTCATGCTTCCCACAACATATTTGTCTAACTGTATTCTTCAACTTTATCATCATCTTTGTCTTCATCTCCTTTTTGTTGATACTGCTACGTCATTATCTTCGCTTCATATGGTTTGGTGAATGGAAAGTTTCCAACCTAATTTTTCTTTCCACTTTTCCTTACAAATTCTTGCCAGCTTTTACTTCTCTTGATGTCTTCCAGTATCGGGCCAAACCATCTTGGTCTTCCATTAGTTTTTTTTTTTTCTTTAAATGTAAAATTAATTTCCTTCTAAGTACCCTTGTCCTGTCCATTCTTTTGACATAGCTAAAATTCTGTAATAATTTCTCATACCTCTGTTAACAAATTTCACATTTGAAATGGTTGTATCTTAAACAGAAATGTACTTTGTCTGCCTAGCAATACTTCATGACTATTGGCTGGATGGGAGATGCTGTCTCCCCACAGCCCTACTTTTTCTGAAGCATGAATGTAAAACAGCTTGAGAAAGACATAACAGTAAACAGATCATCAAATTTTACCCTATGTAGACTAATTATTATATTATATTGCAGGTCCCCACCAATGGTATCTCCACCTTATCGTGGTGGTGAGGTTTGAGAGCTCCTGAGACCCTGAGAGCTATGCCGGCCGTAGCATAGCTACTGGTAGAGCCACCCATGCCAGACAGAGAGGGATACCCTGGTCCTCCAGGTTGGGGGTTGGGCGTGAGGCTAACGACCTCACACTGTAAAAACTAAATTGTTCAGAAATCCGAGGTAAGAGTAGCCGGACGGACCTACTCAAGATGACCTGGAAAATGTTTAAAGGATTTGAGAATTGGATCTTGGAATGTATTATCTCTTTACAGAGCCAGAGCACTAAAAATGCTACTTGAACAACTAGATAGCTATAAACTAGATATCACTGCTATGCAAGAACTGAGGTGGTTGGGTAAAGGAGTCATGGAAAAGAGGGATCATGTTGTATTTTATAGTTGTCAGAAGAAGAGTCACATGTTTGGAACAGGTTTTATTGTTAATAAAAAAAGGAAGCATCTTATTTTAGACTTCCAGGCAAAATCTCACAGAACATGTAGGCTACGAATTAAGGGAAAGTTTTTTAACTATAGCCTTATTTGTGCACATGCCCCAACTGAAGATAAAAGTGATGAACCTGGAAATCCCCTGATGGAAATGTGTTTAATAAAATTGATCACATCCTAATAGATGTAAGACATTGTTCAGATTTGATGGATGTCAGGAGCTACAGGGAGGCCAACATTGACTCTGATCATTACTTAATAATATCAAAGATTAGAAGTCGAATATCTAATGCAAGGAAGATACATGGATCCCAGGCTAGGAAATTGAATTGTGGAAAATTGGTGGAACAAGGAGTTGCAGCCAGATATACTGGATTAATTGGTGAATGCCTGGCAGGTCTCTCTGATAGCGAGGATGTCAGTGAAGCTTGGAGAGGCCTCAGAGATGTTATTATAAATGCTGCTGGTGCAGTCTTAGGAAGAATGGAAAGGGTAAAGTATAAGAATTGGTTTGATGGAGAGAGTGAGCAAGTGACAAATAAAAAAAAACCAGGCATATAAGAGAATGCAGCAGGGGAACCATACTCGAGGCGCCGTGGAAAAATACCATGAAGCGAGAAGAAAAGAAAAAAGATTGCATAAAAAGAAGAAAAGGGAATATGATAAACAAGAACTGATTGAACTGGAGCATTTAGGAAGTTCAAACGAAATTAGAGCATTTTATCAAAAACTAAACAAGAGTCGAAAGGAGTTTCAACCTAGAAGAGCCCTATGTAGAGATAAAGAAGGCACAATATTGAGTAGCGATGAAGCAATACTGAAAAGATGGGCACAATATTTTGAGGAATTATTAAATAGTAACGCCTCTGAACAAGTGGAAGGTATGACCATAGACCGGACTCAAGGAAATTTTGAGGCTGAAGAGCCAGTGCCAACCATAACAGAAGTAGAACAAGCTATCAAATTTTGAAAAATAATAAAGCTCCAGGAATGGATCCTGTCACAGCACAATTAGTGAAATTTGCAGGCCCAGAATATGCCAAGCACTTACATCAGCTAATAGTTAAGATATGGATAAGTGAAATAATCCCAGAGGAATGGAACCTAAGTATTGTATGCCCTATCCATAAGAAAGGCAATGTCATGGTATGCTCTAATTATAGAGGAATTAGTCTGTTGTGCATAGCATATAAAATATTTTCCAACATTCTGTTTAACAGGCTCTCTCCCTTTGTGGAAGGCATAATTGGGGATTACCAATGTGGGTTTCGTCAAAGAAGATCAACTAACGATAAGACTTTCACTTCAGGTTTATATTTACTTTTATATTGACAGTGTATTATTAGAATAATATGGACACATTTGTTTTTGAACTCTGTCTAAGACATCTCTGAGGGTGTGGAGTGCCTTGAGCGTTATGACAGCAGAACTTATGACCTTGCGAATATTCAACAGATGGCAGAAACGTTGTGGTATTAAAAATGGCTGAAATTAATCGATAGGAAGTTTTGGAATCAATTGCATGTATTTCTGATTCCCGTGAAGGCGTTAAGTATTATGTGTTTTATGTGTTATACGTGTTTAATGTTGAAGTATGAGTATGTGAAAATATTCTGGCAAGATGAAACAGTGAACTACATGACTTAAGTTGTGATGTAGCTATGTCAGGGTGGGAATACACGAGCGCGCCGCTGTGGTAATGCAACATAGAATGAATGGGTATTCGCTCGTGTGTACGTGATTGTGAAGACGTGCAGCGCACCCCTCGACTGCCGCACAGCAATCCAGTTCCTGTCGGTTTTTCTGACGAACACAAAGAGATTCGTTGCCGCAGTGTGGTTGGGTTCGGTTGCCATTTGTCCCGTGAAGTGCGCACACCTCAAACATGGAGTGGTCAGAAGACGATATTTTGGGGCTCATAGAGGCATACAAATCATTCCCTGTACTGTGGAATCCCGGAGAAAATGATTATTATAAAAAGAACAAAAAAAGTGACGCTTGGCGGGACATCGCTATGAATGTAGGGTGTCCGGAAGACGATTGCAAAAGAAAAATCATCAGCTTGCTCTCGTCGTACAGAAGGGAGAAGTCACACGAGAAAAAATCAATAGGAACAGGAAAAGGTAAGCTTTTTATTGTACATATTTAGGTTTCATTTTAATACATTTAATTGTTTTTCTTTACATTGAGTTTTGATTTTAATTACAAATTACATTTTACTCCTTTCATTCAATTTGTTGCAGGTTCTCAGAAGTGTATTGCAGCCACTGGTTTGCATATGAAGCGCTCCAATTGCTGGAGGTAAACTGAGGACCTCCGAGGTACCCTCTGTAGGGGAAGCATGGAAGTCATATTTACATCGTTTCTCCATGAACCTTCTGCCAATACTCCATCTTCCTCACTGTCCAGTAATTCTTGAGATGTATACACGTTTGATGAATATCTTCTCAAATAATTATGCAAATGAATAATTGTCATAAGCACTAATTGGGCTTTCTCTGGTTCCAACAGCATTGGTTTTCTTAAAACCCTGAATACTGAACTTAGTATCCCGAAAGTATTTTCGACCACACTACAAGCTCTACTTAATCGGTAATTGAAGATTCTTTGGTAAGATCCCTTCACATGATCTCCTGAGTACGGTTTCATTATGCTTTCTCTAAGTGGAAATGCGCTGTCAGCTGCAATGAAGTACGGTACTTTCATTTGTCGTCCAGGAAGTTCTGTTGGAACAGGCAACCTCAAAGTGTTATCTGCCATCATTGCATGTAGTTTACTGTTATTGAATATGCCACCATCAGAAATTCTTCCCTGACATCCGACGTCCGCAAGTACAAAATTGTAGTTTCCATCAACAACAGCAAACAACACAATACTAAAGTGTGTTTTATAATTGAAGAACTCACTGCCAGACTTTCTTGGAGACTGCAGCACGATGTGTTTCCCGTCCATGTCACCTACACAGTGTGGCAGATTCCAAACATCTTCAAATACCTTGCATATTTGCATCCATTCCAGAGGTTTTGAGGGAAGCTGAAACAAAGTCATGTATCTTAATACGTATATCTAGTTACCTGTATAAAGTATGAAATGATTTTTCATGGTATCGTGTTTCAAATTTTCCACTGTAATCCTCTCAATTTTTGGAAATATGTATTGCGATAAATAAATGTCCCCATTAAGGAAGCAAGAAATGTACATAGTCTCATTTAACTCACCTTTATATTTTCCTTTAATGCGTTGACAATTGCTGTGCAAACTTGTGGGATTATTTGTCCGATAGCCTGTTTTGAAAATCGAAACAGGTATTGAAGGCTTGCATAATATGAATCCCCTGTCGCCAAGAATCGTGAAGTCACTGCTAACCTGGAATATTAATATACACAGATTGTCAAAGAATAGTGGTGTTTAAATTTTATTTCTTACACAATTACATTCTTCACTGGATAAAATCACTTTGTTAGCAGTACTAATGAGTAAATACAGGCCTATCTTGAATTGAGATTGGTTCTCTCATGTTGGTGGGCCTTTTCCCGATCTTTGATCTGATTTTCATCAATAAATCTTCAAAGTTGGTGGGACTCATCCCAGTGAAGTTTTTATATTGGCCGCTTATTTCTTGACATTTGAGAGCTCTCATCAAGTCATTACCTGCCCGTTTTTTATACACTTCCCTACAATGTATGCTATAACTACCGCAGCACCACTGCAGGCAAGCAAAGCTTCCTCGTCTTCCATGGTCGTGTGGACGGCGAAGACAGAATGGAACTGAGGTGCTTGCAGCTTGCGTGCCCCATTCAGATGGTTCGTTCCGTGCGCGTCGCTTGTTCGAGGTGCACCAAATCACTCCGCGCATCACTTGTAATGCCGCGTTGGAGCCGTGGCGCACTCGTGTATCCCCACCTTTAGTTGGGCATGTTGGTGAAGTAGGGTAAGAGGTTATTGCGCTCTCAGAACACATGGGCGGAAGGCAGTTAAATGGAGATGTAATATTTATAAGACAAATGATGATCCCAACTAGAGAGAATATATGATTGACAGATAATAATGAACCAGGATGCTGAACAGTGAGCAAGTGTGGGCACTGTAGGCTGTGACGGCCTTGACAGTGGGAGTAACCGTCCCCCTCGTTGCTGTAATGATGGCTTGCATCTGCTGCAGGAGGACTGTACCAAAGTAAGATGAATGACTGCATGATTCATTAATTACGTACAGGGAGTAAAATTATGAATACAAGAATATTTGTCTGTATAAGTAATAAATGAAGGTGACAGATTGAATACATACTTTTTGGAAGCAAGTAAACTTACAGAAATGTTACGTAAACCGAATTGTGGTTAAAATTGTATACTTTTCATTGCATTGTCATGCCCTCTCACACAAGGCCAGATATAAAATACTTAACCAACTTTTCAGTAGACCCTTAAAGAATAAAACCAACTCCAAGGAAATATTAATACCTCACTTGAAAAAATTATGAGATACTATCAGTGACACAGCCCATTCCTCTATTACTGTTTAAGTAAGTCTCAATAAAAGCTTTTTTATGGATAGATTCTCTGTTTTTCATCTCTCTTGTCTGATCTTTGGGTGAGCTGAGTTGTTATTCATAAGAAAATCTGTTTTGTTAGTTTCCTGATTTGAAGGTAATACCGACTGATCTTTGGAAATATGTTCACTTTACACTCTTTAATCATTGTGTCATGTGGTGAGCATTCAGTAACTTGTTCCATACATTTACCAAATTTTGTAAGAGAGTGACTGGTTGGTGTGTTATTAGTAACAACTCTGAAGAGTAGTATGGTTTTATGTTCTCCCTGACTCTTATCATTTGTAATTTTGATGAAGTTGGAAGATATGTAGGATTATGTCAGGTGCTGGTGTTTGCATTGTAACTTCCGTAACACCGTATCAAGTATTCCTTTTCGTTGCTAGTAATGGTCATTTTCACTGATATATTCTGTGGGTAGTAACACATCTGTAGATTAGTTCTTGGGGGATTTTTAGAGAAGTCATTTAAAATTATACCTTTTACTACATAGGTTAACAACTGATATGTGTTTGTGGCATAAATGTTATCCCTTAGATTATAAAATCTTTTATTTATAACTATAGTTATCAAAGTACAAAAATCTTATTATCCCCACACACCTTCCTGCCCAAAAATATCCCAGTTCTTGAGTATCCTTGTTGTATAACTGTCACAAAGTAGAATGACACTTGTCACTTAGCACAGTGGTGTTTTGAAATGAGGTGTGCATTTATGAACTAACAGGGGAGATAAATTTAATTGAGTTCTGCTGTAATAATCACTTCATTAACACATTCAGTCCAGTTAGGTTGTTGAATGTTGATCACCATAAATAATCTAGTATTTTTCTTCTAGAATAGTCCTACAGAAATATATTTGAAATTAAAGTTAATGTTCCTATAATTTCATATGTGCTCACCAGATTTTAGGCTGATAAAATCAGAGGTATGTAACATGCATGCATTCTTGCATGGGGAGAAGGGAAAAACGTACACAGAAGTGCAGGAAAGCTTGAAGGGAAGATGTAGGCATCAGTGGGAGGATACAGCTGCTGCTGCTGCGTACATTCAAGTTATTGAAATTAGGTATTTGCAACAAAGCAGAACATAGTGAGCATGCATATAAGTTTCTTTCTTGAGTGAGATTTTGCTCTGTATTCAGTCATGATATAAATTCCTATGTTGATGTTTCATTGGTCTTCATAGAGTACTCGCATAACATTATTCTGCAAATTGTTTCAGTGCTTCAAGTTCTGGAACCATGATGTTCGAGGTTATCACAAGAGTATGTGGAGACTGCACATGAAGGGCAGTGAAATGCTTGTCGTTGGAGTGCCAAACTCAGAGCATTCATAAGTAAAACTTCTAGAAACACAAATATGAATACTGTAGTGCTAATACAAGTCTCAGTGAAATGATCAATTCTTTTGAGGGTCCAGCATCATCATATCCTAATGTAGATTGTTACATTGTCATCAGAAGTTAACTAGTTCCTTCTTTCAGCACACAGTTGGAACCTGAATCATGTTATTGGAGATATCATTTTCTTCATAAGGTTGCCTATCCAAGGTATGATGTATGGTCAGAGATGATTCGGACACTGTTTACCATCTCTTTAAATGAACTTTAATGCCTCTGCTTTTGGGCAGTTGATAATGACAGGCAGCAGGTTCTTCTGTCATATTGGTATTTAACAAGCTACAGGTCATCACACACCAAAGACTGCAGTATTCACTGCCCCATGCATCTCAGATTGCATAGTTTCATATAAGTTGTTTCCTAAATTATACTTTGTGTTTAGGATTTCAGTTAATTCAGGGTGGTCCAGGATGCTTCCCTGCTGCTGTTTGGGTGCTGGGGCACTGCCCTAACACTTCTATTATGGACAGTGTTGTCAAACTTCAATACTTGTTATTAAAATCTATGCTTCTTTCATTCATTCTTCACAGATTACAATTTTGCTTCAATAATACACTTCTGTATTCATGCAAATTCTTGAAAGGATCAATTCAAAAGTATTTTTATTGAAAGTTTTACAGACTTTAAATGTAAAAACCCTTTTACAATATTTCATTTTTGATCTCTGTGACTGAGATAAAATTCTCAGCCTCTTTAAAAGACACAGTTTTCATGATCAGTGTTTTAAAGGTTTCTGCAATTAAAGGAGCAAAGTTAGAATTATGTTAATGACAAGAACTGCCTTGAATCGAGATTCCTGCCCACTTATTTTAATTTGGAGCTGTGTGCCAGAGTGCTGCAGCTCTTTACTTTTGGGACTATATCCATGCCTGTTTCTGACTCTGATATTTTATGTTCAGGTGTTGTAACAATGAAGTTATGAACAAGCGTGACAGTTATTTTTATCATTTACATGAGATTTGTTAATACAGGGAATATTATTTATCTCAGAGAATTCAAACCATCAAATGTCACTCCTGTTTATTTGCAACCTCATCAAGAGAAGACTAATGTCAGATAGCAGAAAGTAACAGCATTTAGAAGATTCTTGAATCCCACATTGCCATGAAGATGGGCCATCTGTGACACAGAGATCTTAATTTGAAGACAGGATATTATTTTAAGGCTTTACCATCTTGCCTGTGCCAATTCGTTATGAGAAACTGTAATGAACTGGTCTTCTTAAGATGCCAAAACTGTGTGCTGATTTCTGCTCTCCGTGATGTGTTACAATAAAAGGGGTGTGTACATTGTGAATGTGTACCAGAATGAAAATATTATTGTAGATCCATAGAAAGAAGCAGGTATACCATGTGAGTTGGAGTTACAAATTTACAATTACAGTAAATTCCTGTTTGTCTAGTATCCAGGCATCCAGGATTTTCATTCAGCTGGCAAACATTTCTTAGAAAATTATAAAGTCATTAAAAAAAATATGAGTGTATTTTCACTCACTATACAATAGTCCTCCCAGCTTCCACTAGCAGCACTACCCATTATGCTGATGCCATTTCAGCAGAGGCTAGTTGAATTTGTTATCTTGTGAATTCAAAATCTTTCACCTGTCAATGTGCAGTATTCTATGGGAATAGTACATGCAAGAATGTGATATTTTGATTATTAATTAGGTTTCTGCAAGAACTTTTCTCATGAAAACAGCATATTCATGTAACTGGCAGACCCCATTCTATATACATGGCAAGTAATTGTGGTTTACTGTACTAATTAATAGGATAAATTCATCTTCAGTATAAATGACAACATAAATCAAGATCTTGTAATTTCATTTTTAGTGCCAAATTTACACCTGTTGAACCATTCATAAGTTTCTTAGCAAATATGTTAAGAAACCACTGATCACTCATGTGGCTGTGTGGAAACAGCTCTATTTAAATCAGTAGTGTACTGAGACATATCAAAAAAGTGGTATGTCACAAACAATCATGGAAAAAATTCTTAGTGAACCATTAATGAATTGTGTGGCTGTGTATAAACAGCTCCATTTACATCAGTGGTTCACTGAGATGTGGCACAAAAGTGGCACAACACAAATTAACATGGAAAAAGACATTTAACCTTTTGTACCGGGTTGAGGTAAGCTATTTGTAATTCCCTGGCTGCATTACTATAGTTGAAAGAGGCCTCTCATAAGAATTTGTAAGATTTGTAATTCTTTGTTAAATTGGTAAATTCTCTGAAGCTCTTATTACAGCAGACAGTGGCTTATCTTCCTCTTTGTTCTGTAATACACGAGTGTGAACAAATTTGTTCACACTCATGTCAAATTCATTTGGAAAATGAAATGGATACTGACAGACACTGAACCATATCGGCGACTTTGAGTAGTGTTGTTTGCTACAGAAGGACTGTTACTGTAAAACTGCTGAAGAATCCTATAATTTTGTCCTTCTCAAACTGTTTCATGTTGTAACACAAATGGATATTGCTTTATTCACCAGGATAAAATGCAGGAAAATCTGCCATTTTATGTTTTCTGCAGTTTTGTAAAATATGAATGTACAGCTGCTTCAGCAGTAGGATTTTTCAGAAAAATAAATTTTATTTTCATATTGAATAATACCACAATATATTAAGGACATATCGAGTGACACTAAGATTTTTGGGGTACAAATAAAACAATTTTTATATTTACATTCTTTTTATTCTTTACAGGAATATTTTGGTTATAAATCTTTTTAAGGTGCAACTAGTTGTCTTGCTTTACAATTAATAGAAGACAAGGTTGACAGTCTGTGTTCTGATTTTTAGATGCTTATTTTAGATATACACAATTCTTATGTTACTGTATACTAGTCTTTATTTCAATTTATTATATAATTAATATATGTTATACAAACTCATTAATGACATGTTTTAACTACTGAATTTTTAATTAATAGAGCTGCATAAAACTGTACAAATTATATAAGGTTTGCCATTACTTTTACTACTAAAATTAACTTATTTATTATATTGTATATATTTATCAGTATTTTATACAAATGTGTATGCTATTGGATGACAGCTGTAATCCTTAATTGTGACTGTAACTAGGATGATCTCCACATCCGCATGAGAATGTACCCTCGACAGGATTTATGGAAGGTGAATAAATGAAATGAAATGAAATAAAACTTTCTGCTGATATCAGATATGCCCATACAGTATACATTATTTGACACACACTCCTTTTCCTTTGTTCTGCCCATATTTTATAAGTTAAGAATGCAGAGATATTGTACAGATGGATATTGATTCTTCACTACAAAATGCAAGAGTCTTGAAGACTCACAAACCTATGGGTGTACACAGCCTGTTAATGGGATAGCTTTACCTTTCTTTTTCCCTTCTTTACCAGTACATCCAAGTTTCCTATCCTCAGTCATGTAGCCTGAGCCTAGTTTTGCTAGCATTAGTGTGAGGTGTTCAGTCTGACTTGATCCTGCTCTGAAGTGGACGGCCAGGGCGTTCCGCCACCATGGGCCTTGCCTAGGATAGCTAAGCAAGACTAGCAGGAGACCTAGCTAAGGCAAGAGAAAAGCCTAATTTTCCCATGTTTACAGGTTTAAATAGCCCATTACTCTCATTCTTCACCCGCAGCAAGGAAGCCAAAATTTATCCAGCCCGAGAACAGTCTAACTATCATAGAATTTAGGTACTGATGGGGACTTGAAGTGGCTAGATTAAGGACTGTGGAACAAGCATACATATTCCTGAAGAATAACCTAGCCTGGTCATTGCTGCACATGACAACTAGCCTGAAAATAGCTTAGTTAGGCAGGCTAGTCAGCTGAGATCTAATGTATCTTAGCAATAAACAAAACCAGTTCAAAACCTGCCTCCATCTGAAGATAGTGTCATAATCTCGACGACAGATGTCACGAAAGGCCAATCGTCAAACCACGTGCACATATCGACCAAGCATAATCGCTGTACGCGGAGCAGAATTTGGGCCAATGACAACACAGTTCGCTTCAAACAACAAAAGTGTGATGTAGTGGTCAGCGTGGTAAGTGCTACTTATGTCAGAATTAGTTCTGGTTTGCTTGTCAGGTTGGTCAATTGGGAGGGGTCAAAGGTGAGTTAGGTTATGTGAAATTCCGTTAAGGTTACAGGATTTTAATTGATTAGTAATATTTACGTACATTGAGGTAGTGTGACGTTAGATGTGTGATATGTTTGTAATGTAAAAGCTTTCTCTGTATGCTGTGATGATTTGATATAAATTTGTTCAGTAAGCGGGAGTCGAGTGTACTTGACAAATATTGTTCATCGTACATCTTCGTGAATATATAAATTTGAATCATATAGACTCTTATTAGAGGTGCAGCTGCAGTTCTGCAGTTGGGTTATGGTTCAAAGTGTCTGTGCTTCAGCTCTTGAGGTGGCTGTAAACGTAAATGTAAACCCGTCACTGTGACCGAAAGAATTAACAGACGTACAGTTAGTATGCTGTGGAATGAAACAAATATGTCATGTGATGACAAAGTTATAGATGCTGATTTTATGTGCAAAATAATGATTACTCTTAATATTCGTGTTAGAAATTGAGAATTTCAAGTATGCCATTATGGGATCATGTTGGAGATAGAGGGAAGGACTTCTTAGAAATGTTATGCAGGTTCTATATGATTCGTTATTTGTTAGAAGAAAGATTAATATTATTACAGGTACTTACGAAACAGCACTTCACAGTTTATATTAGTTTGTATTTGTCTCATGAAATTTGGCGTTGTAGGAGAGTTTAAAAGTAGATACAAATTTTGTGTTAAACACTTTTCGGTATTGATAAGTATGAGCTCGGTCATATTGAACTGTAAGTAATGAAGCTTCACTGTTTCAATTACTTTCTTTGCAAAGAATTTTGCAGTATGAAAGTTTGTGTTATCATGCAGGAATGTTATGTAACCATAAATGTTTTGTGTTATTGCATCCACATAGAAGTTTTATATTTTGTTTAAATTAAAAGTGGATCAAGTTTGAAATCGTACATACAGATTCGCATGCAAATCAGAATCTGTTTTTTAATGCTATTCATGAAATTGTTTCAGGCCTGCGACTCAGCAGCACGAGACCTCAAATGACTCGTCTGCCATAAGACGAAGGAGTTGTCGCTGTACAGTCATAATGAGCAAGTTACAGCATTTCTATGACGTCCATTATGCTGTATTATCATCCATGCATGGCTCTTTCAGATAGCCTTTTCTCTTGCAACTATGCCACCAGAATCTCTGCATGTCAAGACTGAAGTGAAAAATCAGTGCATGTCAGGACTGAAGTGAAAATCAGTGCATGTCAGGACCGAAGTGAAAATCAGGGCATGTCAGGACTGAAGTGAAAATGTGTGCATGTCAAGACCAAAACATTACATGAAGATACTATTACAGTATTACAGGAAGAAATGTCAGTTTGATGTGTGTGACCATGTCAGACTGATACTTATTTGTCCAACAAACTGCCTCTCTTGCTTTCCTATGTTTGCATACAGGAGGGTAACACATATGCATGATATCATCCGACTTTGTGTCTTGCTTTGATGCCGTGGATGTGCAACATCTGTTACTTTTCACTCGCTTTTCTTTATTGACGCTACATGTTTCGGCCCAACCCCCCATCTTCCGGTGTACAGGTTGTTGTGATTGTAGAATCTGCTGCTCACTGTAACACTGTTTTGTTGCTGTTATGTGGAGGCCTCGCGTTGCATCTGTTTATGTGGGTTAGTCATCTGATTATTTTATTTAGGTGTCCTTGAGCTGCTGGTGTTTGCTTCATGGTTTTGTTTGGCTGTGGTTGTCTTGAATGTTCTTGCTGGGGCGGGAATTTGTTGTGTTGATGGCCAACCACAGCACAACAAATATGCTCAGCTAAAGGACACCTAAACAAAAGACAGATAGTTAACCCACATAACCAGATGCAATCTGAAGCCTCTACATAACAGAAACAGAACAGCATTACAGTGAGCAGGAGGTTCCTTGATCACAACAACCTGTACACATGGAGTGACAACAAAGAGAAAACTGTGAGAGAATGTAACTGATGTTGCACACAGATGGGATCAAAACAAAATGCAAAGTTAGATCTAAGCAGTGCAACAGGATGCTGCAATGTAACATTATAACTGATATCAGTTTTTATGTAAAATTCATTCATGGTCTTCTGGCTTATGACATGGTTAGCAAAGTTTTCTGCTGGTCTGTTGAAGCCAGGGGCAGTATGTTCTCTGGTAACCATCTGCCAGCAAACACAGTGTCATAACTTAGGAGACCAGAATAGATTTTTCACCATTGTGAAAGATTAAAATCTGATACTGTGTAAAATTGTTTGTATATTCAAATCTGGTGGATACTGTAAGGAAGTAATCACTAAACCATAGTAGTTCTGTTTTTCCTTGTAAAGGAAAGAACTTGAGAGGTAAAGCTATCCCTATAAGAGGCTATGGAGTCCCCTAGGGTTGTCAGACGTTGAGGCTCCCACATTTTCTCTAGGCAGTCAGCTCACAAGTGGCGGGAAGGTTGTCAGCCTTACGTGCCGGCCACCCTTAACCCCCCACCCCCATGAAGACTGTTGGTACTCATTTCTGTTAGAGGCCAATAACAGACATTGCACAGTGTAGGTAAAAGTAATTGCATATGGACAAACA